ATTTTTTATTTTTTTAAATATTGATTTAACAGATAAAAATATACGAGAAATTTCAAAATATGTTTTAACATCTGTCCAAATATTCTTATATTATAAAAGGAAACAAATTTAAAATTATCAATAGAAACACAAACAGTCAAAATTATGAGCTTATAAGAAAAATAACTAATTAATATATGATTCGATGAGTGAGAGAATCCTATAAATTAAAAAAAAAAATTGCTAACATTTAACTAAATATTAAAACAATGACATGACAATATAAAAATAAAAAGTAAAAACCAAATTAAATATTGATAGTGATTTTCAAATTTGTATTATAAATGTATTTATAGTGGGATACATATATAAAATTTGTATGGATATATAATATTTAAATGAATAGTTTAATAAGGATAATATTGAAATTTGATGTGTATGGATATAGTTGATGTGTATGGATATAGTAATTTTTTAAATGTTTGATATTTTGATATGAATGTGTATAGAGGGGGATGTATATATAAAAATTGTGAATGTAAATAACGGTATCCTAAAATGCACACATGTCTATTGACTTTTATTTTCTCTTCTCTTTTTATCTCTTTTCATGAGAATGTTGTGTAATGCTAGTTAACTTTTTTTTTTTTAAAGGGTAATTGGGACAGCCCTTGTCTAGAGCCCATTTTTTGGGCCAAAAAAATGATTTTTTTGTTTCTTTGGCAGCCGTCCTTTTTTACTACAACTCTCACATGCGAGTCCCAACTGACCAAAAAGGTCAAAAAATTGATTTTTTGGATAAAAAAGCTACAGCAGACAGGCACACAATACCCACCTAACTTCTGCTTGGTTTGTAGAATACCTCATCTTTCACTTGTCTCAATATCCCCCTAAATTACCATAACATTGCAGAATACAATATTTTTCATTGTAAAAATGATGAATTGACCATTCTTCTATATAAAAAAAAATTTCTTTTAAGAACCCACAATCTCAGTTTTTTTTTTTTTTTTCTCAAAAAGTGCAAACCAAAACCTAATTAAAACATTTCTCCCACCCCTCACCAACAAAATCACATCCGCTATTAAAAACACGATTCTTGATCATATTCTAACCTCGAGAATATCAAAAATGGCCTCAATTGCCCTCAAATTGTTCATCGAACTCCAACAAAACACATCGGAGAACAAATCCATACTCCTATCAAAACTCACCACCCAAACTGAGACTAATGTTCTTTTTTATTTTATTTTACTTAGGACTCATTTTTACCTTTTTAAAAAAATAGGGACTATGAATACAATTAATTTTTTTTAAAAAAAATAAAAGGAGGGTAAATTCGTCGTTTTACAAAAAAAAAAAAAAAAAACTAAAAGGTTGTATTCCACAAATTTGGGCCAAAAAGAAAGGTTATGAGGTATTCGCAAAACAGACAAACTTTAGGGGTATTGTACTAATTATCATTTTTAAAATTCTGAAAGTAATCTTTATATCAGTTAAAATTTTAATTTGATTTATAACTATTAGTCTAATATTTAACGTCAAATAATTGGAACAACTAGGGGATTTATTCAATTGAGACTTTTAATAATTTTTGAAATTTAAAAAATTTAGGGAGTATTCAATTGAGACTTTCTAAAAGTCACGGTGTATTCAATTGAGATTTGTATAGACTTTTAAAAAAATCCCTAAAAGTTACGGTGTATTCAATTAAATCTTTTCAGAGGTTTCTATAAGTTTTGGGGTATTCAAATTTTAATAAATTCTAGAGACTTTTAAAGTCTCTGGACTACTAATTTTTAAGCAAAAAGTACTCATATAAAATTTTAAAATTTGTCTTTCTTTAATCATGAGATTTTAGGAGACTTTCACAAAAAAAAAAAAAATTTAATCTCTCTTTCCTTAATTTTCTATGGACATGTATGATTAAAATTTATTTATTTTATTGATTATATTCCATTCATCTTTCTTTCTCTTTCTCTTATTATTTATCTCTATTTTCTATAAAAAAAATTTAATTGAATTCTTGTAACTTTTTTTTTCTTTTTTTTCATCTTTTTTTTTTGTTAAAAATATCTATTTTTTATTAAATTATAAAATTTTATATGAAAAATTTATAATTAAATTTAAATGTTTTGATTTTTATTTAATTCTTAAAGTATGCTATACTAATAAGATTGGATTGTATAATTTTGATTACTATTTATTTAGTCAAGATCTTAATTTTAAAATTTTTTTTTTTTATTATATGGGAAGAAGAAGGGAAATTGTGGGAACTAACATCTCGTATGTGAGGATTTCTCACCAGATCTACGTGAACTCTATTTCAATTGAAAGTCTTTAAAAAAAATTTGAATTCCTCAAAAGTCTATAAAAATTTTAAAATGAAAATTTCTAGAAGTTTACGAAAGTTTTCCACTAATTTCATACAAATTTATAAAAAATTTACAAAATCCATAAAAGTCATAACTTAAAAAATGCCCATCTAAGTTTTCAAAAGTTCCAATTGAATACACTCCCTTAATTCTTTTGGCCCAATGATCGAACAATTGAAATTTAAAGTGAATAGATTTGTCTTTTATGGAAAGACACCACAAATTCTATTCGTTCTTCCTATAATCCTCTGTCTATTTAGTATTTAATTATAATCATCTCTCTATTTGTAGAAACTATTTTCTGTAACAGCAATCAAGAATTCTAATTTTAATCATTCTTGGAATTGACTTCGAAAGTGAAAAAGGCAGTCAATTAATAATGATTATTAGTGTATCATTAGAAGCGATTCACCTTAAACTCTTTTGACACCAAAATCAGATTTGGCAATGTCCCAGGGACGGATTGCACTTTAATGAAAGCGACTTCGTACTGCACCTTGAAGTTTTCATTTATTTAACTTGTAGGGTTTTAATATCCAATAAATCACAGACAACAATGTAAAACGTAGGATTATATTTAATAGACTTCGGTCTATAGATGAATTAATTATGGAAAAAATTCATAATTAGGAGGTTATGTATAACCTATTTCAAAATTAAGAACAAAGATTTCAAATTTTAAAAATAAGATATTTATTAAAATTTATTTATAACTTAATTAATTAATTATATATTTTATTAATTAAATATATTAAGATCACAGATCTATACAATCTGGTCACAAAATAATGATTTAGTTAGTCACATGTTATTTTTCGATCACAAATCAGTCAGAAGTTATTTTATGGTTATAGTTCAAAAATTTTATAAGTCACAATTGTTCATCAATTACAAATAAAAAATTTATACGCCAAAATTTATTAATCGGTCACAAATCAAAAATATTATAAGTGACAACTTATTAGACAGTTGCATATTATCAAATTATCGATAACAAATTAACAGTTTTTTAGGTCACATTATTTCGTGGTCACAATTTATCTTTTTCATTGGTCACATATTATTTATTGGCTATAGATTAAAAAATTTAATGGTCACAATTAACCGAATAATTTGTGACCACCACCTTACCACTCTCCAGCAACAACACCGCAACCATCACCACAAACCACCACCACTTCTCGACAGTAACACCACTACCTCAAACAAATCAACACATTGCAGAAAAAAATCACCACGTCATTCCATCGTCGTCGCAGCCAACATCAGAACTACTACCTCACCATTGCCACTAGCTGCATCACTGCTAAAACCACCACCTCTTGAACCACCACCGCCACGAAAAAAATCCCTAAATCTGCCATTGGGCACTATCACCACCGCTTGTATCAACAATAACCGCCACCATCATCATCATCATCTCCGCATCAACCACAACACCACCATTCATAACCTACCACAACCACATCACCACCACAGTAACCACGGCGCCATCGCTAAAGCCACCACCACGGCTCAACACTACCATACCAATAGTACACACCGCCGCACCACCACAACACCCAACCATCGCACCCATAGCCTACACTATCGTGATTACAACCAATAGTAAAACACTGCAACAGAGCCGTCGCCACCACCACTGGAGCCAACGCAATAGAGCCACCACAGCCACCTTACATTGCCAGCAAAGGGTGCCTCCACGAGTCTGTGTTTTACGTGTAGTGTCGAGCTAAACGCCACGTGCTATGTTGCAAACCGCCTGCAAAAGTACAATTTTGCAGCGTCACCCGATAGTTGAGGCACCACCACAACGTGTCGACACTCTTTTTCTTTTTTCTCCAATGACTGCCATGTGAGATGTTAACCGGCCGGTGGCTACTTGGTAAACAAAGAGAATGGAGAAAATGGTTAGGTTTACGGGAGAGATTTAGGGTTTGGCCTGGGAGTGTGGGTGTTGAAGTTTATTTTTAAAATTTACTTTATATATTATATTTAATTAAAAAATCTCTAATTTTTGAAATAGTAAACATGTCATCTGAGTTGTGAAATGGGATTTGCGAATCTATTAGAATATGCAATTTCCACATTAATTATCAACAACTAAGTCTAAAGGCTCGACCCGAAAACTACATGGACTGCTGAAAATAACTTAATGAATTAATGTTGCTCAGGGTCCATATGAATTATTGGGCGGCTCTTGAGTCTTTGCCCATTTAACTCGTCTCTTGGTCCAACTAAAGCCTAACCTATATCTATATATATGGCTGTCTAGATTTAGCCGTTTTGTGTGTGATTTGTGTGAGCCTTGGAAGAAAAAGTATGATTGGGAATTAGGAAGAAAACCGGCTAGCATTGTGCTCCAAGAAAACCAGTGGCTTCTTGGGCCCGGAAATGACTGATTCAAAGATCTCAAAGTGAGCTTCCGCAATAAAGCTAAATAACATTGTCACCGAGATGGGTGATGATGACAACTATGATGAATATCATTATTAAAAAAAAGTTCTTGTTTTACTCAATGATACTTTATTATATACAAACGTACTATAAAGTAAAACATAGTTTAACCAATATAAAACCAGTAGAGTTTCAATTTTGAACTGTTAATTTTTCAGAACTGTCTCACCTTTACTACTCCAGCCCATCTTACGACTGAATGTTGAAATATACAGTGTAATACTCATCTCTTAAGCTAAGTAATGGAGCCAGAAGAAAGTTTCTGTCGGACCCTTTTGCCACGAAGCTCATAGGATGATACTCACTCAATCCTTTTCTCAAAGTAAAACTTGCTGCCTGTTTAAATCCAGATTCTGATGATTTGCGTCTGAGCTTAACGCTTGTAACGGATTGATAGTCGATGCTGCTGTACAAGAAGCAACCTTTATGGTCCTCAGATTCCAAGGAAACCTTTCTATTTTTACCGTCCAACCCTGAAATCAAGCGAAAAGTAGAAGAACCACCACCTTTCGATGAATCTGTAATACCTAGATGTTGTT